TCGACTCTCACACAACGCCTTCTCGACGGTAGTTTCTAGCGAAGATAAGTTGCTTAAATTACCACCACATGGCGACCCCAACAGGATCTGCAGATAAATTTGGGTCTGCATAAATGATCGCTGTGGACTCAGATTAACCAAAGGCACTTCAGTATCGACACAATGTAGAAGAACGAAGTTTTAGCCTTACAGCCCGCGACAAAGTCTGGCGCAAACAAAATAAATATTTTGAAAGAGTACATCATGGCACAGGCACTAGAAATTGAGAAACAGAAACTACAAATTAGGCAGCTACAGCATACCATTCAGCAAGAAGAGGAGGAATGCGCACAATTATGGCGGAGATCGGCAAGTTCAAAGAAGCGAATGCTACGTCAGCCTTAAAAAGGGACATAACTGTCCTAAAACTGAGACTGCAGAGGGCTGAAAATAGAACGACTGAGGTCCAACTTGACCAGACTAGGTAATCTTCCGCAGCGAGATTCAGAGAAAGCCCGCTGTACCGATAGATAGTCCAGTTTAATTGAAGAAAGGAAATATATTCAATTTAGCGGCACAGTTGAATCAGGACTGTCAGTATGAAGTCCTAGCATGGAAGAAATGTAATTCTTCACTGCTTACGAAAGCTATGAGGGGGTTTTTCATAGTCAGCCAAAATTAAAATTCTTCAGCTTAAACTTAAAGATAGAGCCGAAATCGTAATGAATAGTTTAGAACCTGAAACCACATTGCGCTACAAGACAATTCATAATGCAATCCTAGCCGAATTGAAGGAGCATGGCTTCGCGGCAGTAAAAGCGTTCAAAAAACTGGCGAAAGGGGTCTTTCAAAGAAACAATGAACAAGCACTGGAATTCAGAGAAAGAGTAAAAGCTCTAGTCCGACGTCCCCTACCGCAAGTGGATGAGACACTCAAATACTAAATATACCGCCGCCTGACTAGTAAACCGTTAATCGCGCAAAATAAAACCGAATTTAAAACGCTCTGTGTTGACGCAGGCTAGCTGGAACTAGCGTTGGAAG